CGGCCACTGGTTTTTTATAAACCTTGAGTTTTTCTTCTAGTCGGCCACTGCTTAATGGGTTTCCTTTTCTTGATCTGGGAGTTGCTTGTATATTAACCATTGCTGTGGTTACTTTTGGAAAAGGTTGTTGCTCTACACCCAAAGTGATATATTTGAGCCGACTTGCCTTAATGGCCTTTTGGATCTCATTTCGAAAATGAGTGCATTGACTTATATTGTGTGTGAAGGAGTTATGCCACTTACAATATGGTCTTCCTTTGATTTCTTCCTTAGTAGCCAACCTTTGCCCTTTTGGAATTCGGATCTGGCCATCAGTTAGCAAAATATCAAAAATTTCATCAGCCTTTGAATTGTCAAATGTGGATTGCTCTATTCCTTCAGTTCCTGGCACTGGCTTTAATTTGGAGCACACATAAAGCTTTCCTGAAATGATTTCGGCTGCCATTTCTTCTGTCTGATCAAAATCAAAGTCATATGCTTCTATTTCCATACTCGCCATATGTTGAATTTTATTACGCCTGAAATTCTGATCATTTTCTCTGAAAAGAGACTCTAAACGTCCAGCCTTGGCAGCAAAACTTGCCAAATCTTCTACATCATGAGCAGTGAGTGCCTCTCTTAGGCGGCCATGCATATTTCTGACCACTAAATTGGTCATTTCTTTTTCATTGATTATAGTAGGACAACGTCCTTTTATCAGTCACACCCTTTCAATAAACTGTGAGGCTGATTCTTCTGGATATTGTTTCAATTCCAACAAATCGGTAAGAGAAACAGTTGGTAAAGGATTGAAGAATCTAGCATGGAACACCATTTCCAAACCTTCCCAAGTTTGTATTTGCCCAGGTGGCAGATTTACAAACCATGAAAAAGTTGTTCTGGTAAAAGACAATCGAAATAGTTGCAGTTTATAAAAAGGATTATTTTCAACTTCCCCTAACTGTGCTGTGAAACGACCCACATGCTCTATGGTGGAGGATCCGTCTTCCCATGAAAAAGCATGAAAATCAGGTGGTCGATAATTCCTTGGAAGCGGATAGTCGTTAATGATCCTTTCAGGAAAAGGTATTTGATAAGCAGGACGGTTGGCCATCTGAGGATTCAAACCGAAATGAACCCTCAACACTTGCACAATCTCTTCAGGATCCAAACGAGGGTGTTGATGATCAGGGATAAGAATGGGATCCTGCACATGTGCTCTTTGCCTCTCTTCCCTTACAGTGTTCGGCTGCACATTTTCAACTCTTGATCCCAAAGGAACATTATTAGGGAAAGTTAGAGGAGTCTTTCCCCTATCTGTTCAGTTGAACGTTGTGGCGCTTGGCAATGTACTGTCAACGTATGATGGCCCTGCGAAATTTGCTTGTATTCTTGATGGTGATATTCCTGGTGGCGTCTGAGTGGGTTGAAGAGTAACCTTTGATAAAACTTGATCTAACATGTTTTGCATGAGATTCTGTTGCTCGTGCAACATGATGTTATGTTGCTCGCGCAACATATTCTGCATAGCCAAAGTTTGCTGATTGTTCAATTGTTGAACATAAGACACCCAATCGGCGGGTGGTTGGGGGACCTCCCCTAGATTTGGCATGACAGGTGGTGAAATATTTTCTCCCACCGGTGTTGAAGATGATTGAGGTTGTTAGCCTGCCATATTGATCTTTCTGATGATTCGGCCGGACTTCAGTCGTATGAAATTCTCTGTTGATGTAGGATCAGCAATTTTGCCTTTCACCCACTGTGGTCGCCAATTTGTTGATACAATTTTTCAACAATAAAAAAGTAAATACGAAAATAAGAAATTATCTCCGAATTTGATATAATTAGTGCCTGAGATTAGAAATCTCTAAACACTGTAAGGTACATAAGTAAACTGGAAAATAAATGCTACAGACTGAAAATTAAAGGATGATCCCCGAATCACTGATTTTGCTGTTGTTTGAAGATGATTGAAGATACCCTGCCAGTTGCTGACCTCAATCCTTAAATATTCCTCAGAAACGATACTTGGAACCGTCGCCCGAACGGTTACAACACCTACTCTCAACCGTCTACTAATTCTTCTTTTGTTGACATGTGTTTTCAACCGTCTTACCGGCCGCATAACCCAACCGACCAAACTACTGTTCTCTCACTCGATCTCCGCAGCAGCTGACCTCCACAGCAGCCGACTTGCTCATCCAACTGCGGACCATCCGACCTGCTTATCCAACCACGGATCATCCGACCGCGGACCTTCCGACCGCGGACCTTCCGACCTGCCCATCCGCGGATAGATTCTCCGACCTGCCTATCCGATTACGGACCTTCCGACCTGCTTATCCGATCGTGGACCTTCCGACCCGCTTATCCGACTGCAGACCAACCGACCTGCCTGTCCGACCGTGGACTTTCCGACCTGCCTATCCGACCGCGGACCTTCCGACCTGCTTATCCGACTGCGGACCCTCCGACCTGCTTATCCGACCACGGACCTTCCGACCCGCCTATCCGACTGCGGACCAACCGACCTGCCTGTCCGACCGCGGACCTTCCGACCTGCCTATCCGACCGTGGACCTTCCGACCTGCTTATCCGACTGCGGACCAACCGACCTGCCTGTCCGACCGCGGACCTTCCGACCTGCCTATCCAACTGCGGACCTTCCGACCTGCTTATCCGACTGCGGACCAACCGACCTGCCTGTCCGACCGCGGACCTTCCAACCTGCTTATCCGACTGCGGACCAACCGACCTGCCTGTCCGACTGCGGACCTTCCGACTTGCTTATCCGACCGCGGATCTTCCGACCTGCCTATCCGACCGCGGACCTTCCGATCTACTTATCCGACTGCGGACCTTCCAACCCGCTTATCCGCTCGGAAGGACAGCCGGTCTAACCAATCACCCCGAAAATCCCTTAACCGCCAAACGTACTCGATTACAGGCTCAAATTTCCCTATATCTTGGGCCTTTAACCTAATTATAAAATTCGTACGTAACACTAATATAAATATATAAAACTGTAAATATCTATCCACTAATATCTCTTGAAAAAAGAGAGAAATTTTTTATAAAACTGTAAATTCACTCGTCTACTTAAATACGGGTGAAAATGGTAAAAAAAACTATATATATATAGTAAACAAAATCTCCAAAATTCTAATAATTTAGAAATTCAATACTGAGCTCTTATATATAATATATATATTAGGTTTCGGTAGAAAGCTTATTTAGAACATTGTATTATGATTATGAATAACGGATGTGAATTTTCACCTCATCAAAATAACTTTTTGATGATATATGTAATAACTTATATATCACTTGGAAAAAGTCTATTATACCCTTGAGATTACTTGTTGGTGAGAAGTTGTTTTAACTTGTCTATATTTGTGAATTATACTTATTCTTTGTCCAAATGGATCATTTACCACACGATATGATGTCTTTTTTATCGATGAAAATTTTATTTTTATATATTTATATCAATATAATATAATTTTGAAATTAAATTTAAAATTAAAAATATATTGATATCAATATATAAAGAATATATTTTTTAATAATATACAAATAAAGAAAACAAAAATAAATATAATTAAAAAATATTTTTTAAAAAATGATTGTTCTATATTGAAATGAGCGGAGAGATTTTAATGGAATGGAGAAGAGGAAAAGAAATAAAATGAAATATTAAAATTATAATAATTCGTTTGTTTCTTAGAAGGAAAAAAGAGGATGTGAGAAAAAAATTACTCCTTCCGTCCCACATAATTCGTTCTTATTTTCTAATTTTCGTTCGTCCCACATAATTTGTTCTTTCCGTTTTTAGAAAATAATTATACACTTTAATCTCATTTTAAATTGTTTTAATTTTAATTAAAATATTTAGTTATCCTAATCTTAATCTACAATTATTTTTACTATACAATAATTATTTTTATTAATACATTTCTTAATTATATACTAATTACACTTTACCTAAATTTTCGTATCTATGGTAATACGTCCATATTATATGGAATGGAGGGAACAGAGGGAGTAGTATTTTTTGTATTTAATTAGTTAAGGAAGATGAAGGTTACTCCTACTATATAAATAGAAAAAATAAAAATTTTAATAAAATTTAATTCATGTATTAGTAAAACATTAATTTTGATATAGTATAATGTAATATTAAGAATATAATAGTAATTTAAATAGTAATAACGCCAATATTTTTTTCTCCCCTTCAAATCTTGCCAATTTAGAAGGGAAGCAAAATGATAAATTTTCAAATTTTTGTTTTTAATTAAAATTTTTATTATTATTGAAAAAAACAATAAAAGTAATAATAAAGAAAAAAATATTTTTGGTAATTAAAAAATAATAATAATAATAATAAAGAAGAAAAAGACATCAACATTCGTCTAAAACAAACTTCAACGACAAATTTAATAAAAACCAAACAAATTTATGCAAAAATAAAGTAAAAACTATGAATGAGCAATTTTTAAGTATATGTGGGTTCCGCTATTAGGAAATCAACAGTAGGCACTGATGTAGATCATCTATCATCTCATCTGATCTGTTTTCTTCTAAACAAGTCCGTACTCACATAATATGATATAATATAATTACAGTCCCAGGCAGAACCGTCTTGGATTTTTTTTAGATCCTGAAGAAAAATAAATTATTGATCCTATAAATATGTTATTAAAATATATTTTCAAAATAAAATCACTATTGACATCGATTGAACAAGAAGTTAAAGGTCTAAGCATAGTCGATTTGAAAAAAAAAAATGAAAAATGAACTGTCCGAAAGTTGAAAAAACGAGAAGGGCTGACGGAGGATAAAAGAGAGATAAAGATAGAAGATGAGACGAATAGGTGGGCTCAGTGCGGCCGTGTTTATATCACGCTACTTTTCATATCATTATCAATCTATCAATACATAATCATAGGCATTCATTCATTCATTCACTCACTCACATACACACACAACGCCCAGCAAAAATCGAAGCTTGAACCTACAAATTTTCAACTAAACATCATGTAAGTCCTATAATGAAATATCCTTTCATTGACAACATTGGAGATACCCTCCTGAGCTTTGACAAGTTTTCCAAGACAAGAAAGAGATGCACAAAGTCATACAAATATTCAACACCAAGACACAACAAACAAACAAAAAAACAAACTCTCTTAGTATTAGTACCAACGATCGATCGAAAAGCAGTATGCATAAATCCTATGTTGTCTTCAATTACCTCTCTCAAAGTGGAAGGAATGAAGTCAGCTCAGCTCAGCTCCTTCAAAAAATTCATCGACCTATTTTCCTGACTCTACACTTGAAGAAATCAAATGAATTTATGCACTAATTAAACCAGTTTTCTGAGCCTGGTCACCTTTTTTTTACCTCACGATTCCTTCTTTTTAGTACGGTATGGGTATGGGTACTTCTGGTAGATGGTTGTGCTGGTGATAACCAATGGTAGAGCCACAAGGCAGTATGGAGAAGGTGGTTTACCATCGAACATGTATTGGAGCAGAGCTGTGACCAGAAGGGCGGATACAATGACGAACCCCTGAATACATACACATACAATTATCGGAAGAATTAAAAACTAACAGTACAGTAGATTATTGTATGAATAAGTGGATACATGATACTAATAAGTGAAACAGAATGTATACAGAAGTTTGAAGAGATAACGACTGCAATTGGACACTAACTAGGGAAGGCTTGAAGTTAGATAATTCAGTGACTTTTGAATTCCAATGCACATCGAAAGGAAAATGGTTTTTTTTTTTTTTGTTTTTCTTTTATTTTTTTTGTCCTGCAGATAAAGGAGACATGTTTTTTCACTCCTGCTTTTTTACAAATTATGAACCAGTATCCCAAATTTTTAAAATTTAATCACATTTTGAGAAACCTATGTTGACGAAATTAGAAGCCAAATTGATGAAGCTCTTCTGAGAATGTAATCAATATATAAAATGCACAACCAAGAGAGATGCTCTCTTTGCCATGGCATTGTTGGTACTCTGCCAGCAGTAAATTAAGACAGATTTTACATATAAAAAATCAGGAAAACGAGTACTCACTCAGACGTTGGAAAATATTTTCGATACTTTTAAAAGCTTTAGGAATACCTATAAAGCCCGTGTTCAAAGATTTGCAAAATTCAATCAGTTGCATGCAAGTACCAACTCAGAATGCTTGAAAGTGAATCAACACTCACCTTTCGGACACCACCAGCATAACTTGTCACAAGACCAACAAGAATTCCACCAACAGCATTGAGTACAACAGGAATCTGAAACAATGAAAGAAATCACAGAACTTGAAATTACACATTGCGTGGACATTTCTTAAGATATAGATCAATATTTGTTCTGATCTGTAAAAAAAAAAAAAAAAGAAAAACCTGGGATAGGTAAAAATAGCATATAGTTGCATTAGAAGACCTTGTTGCCAAGTCTGAACTGGAAATACTTATTCTCACAATTTAACATTTTTTTTTGTTTTAGTCCCAAATTATACAAACTCCCATTTGAATATAATTTACATTACCTACTATCATTTTTGGCTCCATATGAGATCTGTAATTCTATACAGATGATAAAATTGATGAATTATAACAATAACTGCATTATAGGTTTTGAATGCCATAACTATTATGGGCCTAAAATTAAAAATCATTAAGTATTAGGACTATAATCAATAATAGTTCTGTTAATGGAACCAAATGTACCATTTTGCCACCCATGGCGCTCTGACAAAAGCATTTCGAAGTAACATCAACAGGATGTAGTTGCATAAATTAACTTTTTTTTAACTTCAAAGCCAAAAGAATGTAGTTTGTTTGGTCATAGCGATAAAAATCAAGTAAGAATGGATATAAAGCAATTACCCATGTAAAAGGAGTCCATCCATAAAAGAACCCATGTTTTCTAATAGCTAAACCATCTGGAGACTTGGAAGCACTGGCAAGTAAGCAAAGGCTCCCAATTATGGACATCTCCACAGTCATCAAGTAAGATGTATGGTTCTTAACCTGTGTCAACTCAAGTCAGAAAAATACAAAAAACAAAAAACAAAAAAACATGAATTTTGATGAGGGAAGAGCTCCCAAATCCAATTATAAGCATGGTAGAGTTTAACTTACTTGGCAAGCCCACTGACATAACGCCGAAGCCAGACCAGAAAGTATGGAAGCTACCAGTACAGGAATAATCCCATAGAATAAAATTTCATCAGGATTTTCAGAACCCATTGCTTTACTGGATCCTTCACCAATGCTTAAAAGGACAGCTGCAGTTATCAACAAAAACAGAGCCCCGATCTGTTGAATAGACTGTCTCTGCCTGTTTATGACACCAAAGAACTCAAACTTATATTAATCTAAAAATACAGAACTACGTTACGGGAACTTTTGATTTAGAGGAGATTTAACTGAAGAACAATTGATAAATTTAACTAGAGCAAAAAAACACACACATAAAAAAACATCAGGTTAATGACTTCCAACACAATAAACACACACCACTCAAAAAATATACCCTCTTATTAGATATACTGCTTATTCAAACAAGGACGAACCTTAATATGAGATAGGTAAACAATGCTGTGAAAAAAAGTTTTGTCTGGTTCAGCATTGAGAATGTAAGTGAATCAAGATTTCTATAGGATATCTGTAACAAGCTATTTTGCAGTGCATAGATGGCGGCTGGCAGTCCTGATGCTGTTAAAGAGCCAACTAAAGTCCACTCTTTGAACACCTTTCTCAAATTTCCTTTACTTGCCAAGATAAGGAGAGCACAAATCACCTGTGATGCATCGAAATGCCCATTAAATTTCATTAAACTACTTATTTAATATATGGGTAAAAAGTTAAAGAGCAAAGAGTTACCTTTACCGACTCACATGTCAAAACAGAAGTAGTCACAATAACTTCACGGCTACATCATAAAGAAAAAATATACAGATTTGAGTCGTTTTTAAATGTGAAAAAAGCAAATGTTCAAGGATGAATGCCTTGGCCTGTGGTGAATTTAAATTGATGTCCATTTAAAGAAAATGCACATACATATATATTTCTAAAAATCAAGAACATGATTCGCTAATCCTAAGAACAAAATCAATCATACCCCAAACTCATCCATATATTCATATAAAGCCCTTCCACATCAACAATTTTTTTCAAGTATACAGGCGCTTTTCTGGTTTTAATATTAGCTATTTATGAAACATGTTGCAAAGAGGAATGCAAACAGACCATAATGACATAATCTGCCCTATATGATCGGTCAAATACTAAGTTATATCAAATGTGCCCAAAGTATGCAACTCTGATGAACATTTAGACTCTTGGAAAATGTTTCCATAACAAATATCAGTAGTTTTCATGCCTAAGAGAAAATTGTTCACCCTCAACAAAATGCAGTACAGCTGATCACAAGAGCTGAAACAGCATTTTGAAGGTTGATGATGATACTATCTCACCCACTGCATTTGCAACAAGCCTAAACACATAAAATAAGTGGGCTATGTCGCTAGATCAGGTACCTAAGAAATATTCTCTCTTTGTTATGACCGATTCCTGAGAGGAAAAAGAAAAACCTAATTGACGTATGATCTCTGCAAACAAGCTACCATACTTAGTTGATATTGTTTGATACCTTCCTTCAATCATGTGTTAAATCAAATAGCACTGATTCCTACAGCTCCATGCTAAAATTCGTCCAGAATAGCCTACAACTAGTAGAAGCAAAAACCTTAACAGCGAATTAAGCTCTCGAAAAAAAAAAAAAAAAACAACAAATGCCTATTGCCGGTGTCCAATAGTCCAATCTAGAACGGTTAATCATCAAACCAACCAGAAATTGTGTGTGTGTGTTTCTTTTTTCTCTAAAAAACAAAAACGAAAACATTACATCTCACTACAAAATCCAATCACCTAGTGCAACGCTTGGAGATGAGGGGCTGGGCGCCGTACTGCAGCGTGAGCAGCAAGGAAAGCAGCCACACCTTGGCGCCAGCGCTGGGATTCGGGCTAACCGGCCCAGGTTTGGGAAGTTCGGGCTTCTTGACCGCCATTAACTGCGGCGAAGGGACGATCTACGCGCTGCTCCAGTCGTGAGGAAAAGGCATCGCACTTGTAATCGGGTCCAATGGGAAAAAGTGCAGCAGAAAACGAAACGGTCTTTTTCGGCTGCCGTACGTCGTCGTTTAATATTTTAAGGCATCTTACTTCGGTTATAATTGTAAGTTCACTAATAACTATTAGGCCACCAGCAATCCAAGAACCACACAGGATTTCTTCCCATTTATCTTTTCTCTCTTCTAAGTCACTAAAAACTTCAGTCATATTTTATATCTACATCAAAAACATTTTAAAATCTCTATTATTTTCACCTCATTAAATATTTTATATATTTATAAAATAAAATTATATTTTTCAGTTATATTTTATTCTTATAATATTTAATAAAAATAAAATAATTATTTAGCATAAATAAATAAAATAAATAAAAATACTCCCTCCGTCCCGGTGCTAAAGTTTCCGTTTACGTTTTGCAAATAGATTTTTTAATATTATTATTATAATAAATTGTTATGAAATGACAAAAATACCTCTGTTAGTATTGTGTAATAGAAAAGTAATAGGCATTTATGTAACGACTTGGATCTGGTGCTGATTCACTAATTTCAGCTTTGCTGAAATTAATCTCCACCATTAATTATATTTAATATTTAATAGTGGAGATTTAATTGAAGGGTAATAATGTAATTTTATAATAAATCATATATTATACTAAAAGCGTCTAATTGCTTTCAATTCATAGAACTAGCAACACTCACTCACATGCGCAGACTGAAGCGGTCAAGAAAAAGAACGCCTCGAAGATTTCCCTGTATTATTTCATCTTCCTTTCTTGGAGTTTATATTTCTGCCTTAATTTTTTCCATTGCAAATTACAATTCAATTCAATTCAACTAATTTATTGTAATATCTAGTTAGCTGCAATATAACTTATTTTTTCATATTTTTGTAATCCTTCTAGTATTCGAGTTCAATGCAATTCACTATGAAATATTGATTGAATTATACAACTCAAATAAGTAAATTACAGTAAATTATATACATAAATTTGGGGAAATGGAAGGTAAGGCAGGTAAGGGATTAATTGAATACATGTTTGTTGGAGTTTAGGATTGGGGGTGATGAGAGGTTTAATTTGAATGGCAAAAAGAAAGATTTGTTGTTGAGCTCATGAAATTGGTTATGGCTACCGGGGAAGATCTGTCTGTCTGCTGTCATGGCCCCCAAATAAATGAAATTTGAATGTTGATTTATAGCTAATAGTTCTACTATCTAAATTTTACATATTTGTGCACTAATAATTTTTTTTTAATATCAATGTTGGTGATTTGTGTTGATAGGAAAAGCCACAATTAATTCACATGGATGAATTTCAATGTAAGGATGGACTTCCAATGCATTATATGGATGAAGTTTCAGTTGAATCAATAGATGGAACAAATTACACATCTCAAGATCAATGATGGTACTATCTATCTAAATGTTACATATTTTTGTTAGTTGTTGCTTTGAGTTTATTACTCAGATACTCAAACTATCTTATATTATTACTTAAAGTTTGTTATTATTACTTAAACTTATGTAATATGATTATAAAGGTTTATATAGGAGTGTCAAAATTCAATCCGACCCGAAAAATCGAACCCGTTCGACCTGAAAATTTTCAGGATCGGGTTTGGGCATTTCGGGTTTGAAAAAAATCGGTTCGACCCGAACTCGAAACGAAAAAAATTCATGTCGTGTTCAGGTCGGGTTTCAGGTTGACCTGATAACCCGAAATAAAAATTCAGGTTAGATTTTGGGTTTCGGGTTTCAGCTTGACCTGATTTGTTTTTTTTTTTTTGTTTTTAATTTATAATATTTATGTTATATTAAATAAAAATTAATATTAAAAAATAAATTAATAAAATAGAAAGAAAAAAAAATCCACACACAATTAAGAAAAAACAGAAAGAAAAATACAGACACACTACGCCTACCATCCACCCAAAGAAAAAACCCTACCAAGAAGAAGCCGCCCTGCCGCAGCACCGTGCGAAGCCAATCAACTTGAAATTTTAATTTGAAAACATTATTTTTCTCTCACGTTTCATACGCCGGAGTTCATTTGAAGTAATTAAATTTGAAAAACTGTTTGTTCAAACGGTTCATCTCTTCCGGTAAATTTTTATATTTTCTCATCTATTTTATCTTTTAATTTTTTTTTTATTTTCCACCTTCAAAATATAATTTATTTATAGTTCAATTTAAAGATTTTGGAATTTTTTATAAAAATTTTGAATGTATGACTTTGCAATTTAGTTTTGATTTTTAGACTTTAAAAAAAAAAATTCATATTACTAAAATTTTAAAAGTTTGTTTTGATTTTCAGATTTTAGGCTAGGCTATTGAAATAATTTTTTTAAAAAACATTCTTGAGTTTTGCCGTAATAAAAAATTGTTTATAAAATATAATGAACACTAAGATGAAATATTATCTAAAATGATGTTTTGTCTGTTTTAGTTGTATTTTTATATATATATATATAATCAAATCTCTTTTTATTCATATTTTTATAGTACTGTCATTATTTAATTTGGTTTTTGCATACTCTGAATGTGTATATTATAACTAGTAATAAAAATTTGTTTATGTTGTATAGGTCATTATGAACTCAAACGAAGATATTGAGATTTTGGATGATGAGGATGAAGTCAGTATGGATCCCCAAGCCACTTTTTTTGGATCTAACTCTACAAGTCAAGAGATCGATCGAAAGAAATTGGAAGCAACATCGGGTTCCAAACGTAAAAGAAGACTAAAGTCTAAAGTATGGCAACATTTGAGTTGTTGCCACAAGAGGAGGGCAAACCATTGAAATGCAAGTGCAAAGCATGCGGTCATTTATTAGGGGCTGATTCAAAAAATGGTACAGGTAACTTACAACGTCACATAGATAAATGCCCAAGGATATTATCTAAAGATATTGGTCAAGCTTTATTAGACTGTGGCAATAATAGTCTTGGTGTGAGGACACCAAAATTTGATCAAGAACGGTTTAGAGAGCTTCTTGTCTTAGGCATTATCAAGCATGAGTTGCCTTTTCAGTTTATGGAATATGAAGCATTTCCATCTCTTTTCACTTATTTGGAGCCACAAGTCAGTCACATATCTAGGAATACTGCTAGAGCCGATATCACTAAGATGCATAAGACTGAAGCAATTAGACTTGGTGAACAAATGCGTGCATGCTCTAGTAGAATTTGTTTTACATGTGATTTATGGACTTCTATTGCCACATATGGTTATCTTTGCTTGACAGCACATTATATTGACGATAATTGGGTGTTGCAAAAGAAAATAATCAATTTTTCTTATATGTCACCACCTCATTCGGGCATTGCTTTATGTGATAAAATTTCTGGCTTGTTGGCTACTTGGGGTATTGATAAAAAAGTGTTCACTATTACACTAGATAATGCATCAGCCAATGATGTATTTACTGAAATTTTTGGGGACAGGCTTTCTTTGAAGTGCAAACTTATATGTCGTGGTGAGTTTTTGCATGTTCGTTGTTGTTGTCATATTATCAATCTTATTGTGCAAGATTGGTTAAAGAATGTTGATAAATCAGTTGAAAAGATTCGTTAATGTGTCAAATATGTGAAAGAGAGTCAAGTACGGAAGCAGAAGTTCTTAGAATATGTTAATCAATGTTCACTTGACTCTAGGACTGCATTACGACAAGATGTGCCGACTAGGTGGAATTCTACATATTTGATGCTTTCATCTGCCTTGTATTATAAGCTTGTCTTCAATCACTTAAGGTTAAGTGATTTTAATTTCAAGTATTGTCCAACATCCGATGAGTGGGCAAGGATTGAAATATTATGTTCATTTCTATAAGTTTTTTATGTTGCATCAAATATATTTTCTGGGGTGAAGTATCCTACTGCAAACTTGTACTTTCCTGTGGTTTTCAAGATTGAGGTCACACTGTATCAAGGGTTGTGTAGTGATGATGAATTCTTGAAGACAATGGCATCTCAGATGTTTCAGAAATTTGACAAATATTGGAGTGAGTACAGTACTTTATTTGCTATTGCAGTAGTTTTTGATCCTAGATTCAAGTTGAATTTTGTGGAATTCTCATATTCTAAACTTTATGGGCAAGACAACAAAATTTGAAGACATGAAGTCTAAATTATTCTCTATGTTTGATGAGTACATGAGTTTTTCTAGCAAATCTACTGCTTCTACATCTAGAGAAACTTTAACTCTTGAGGAAAATATTGATGCAGCGAAGAAAAACGATCATATGGACATTTTAAAGTTATTTTTTATTTTGAGTTTTTAATTTATTTTTATGTTTAATTATTGCATAATAAAATTTTATATTTAAAAATATTAATGCATTTGATATTATTTATAATAACAAGAATTTTGTTCTTTCGACCTTTCGATCCTCCAAAATAGTGAGTAAAAGAATGAATTGCAGTTATATTTGGAGGAACCAAGAATGAATCCATATCATTCCATTGAAGTTTTGGACTATTGGAAAGTTCATGGTTGTAGATATCCTGAACTGGCGAAGATGACACGAGATATATTGAGTATACCGATTTCTACTGTTGCTTCAGAGTCGAACATTTAGCACTGGTAGAAGAATACTTGATCAATATCGCAGTGCAATGAAACCAAATGCAATTGAAGCATTGATTTGCTGCAAAGATTGGTTATTTGGAACAAAAGGTTATTTATTATAAATATCTAGTATTTACTTTTATATAATTTATATTTAAATTTATTATTTACTTTTATTTTATATATAGGAAATAATGGGGTTGCATTGGATGATTTCACTCATAATATTATGGAGCTGTCTTCGAATGACATTGCATGGAGTACAAATTAAATCCATAGAAATAGTTTCTTTTGAGGATCATGTAAGTAATTATCTCTTTAAGTTTATCCTATTGTATTAATTGATATCAAAAGACAGTAATGTAATAATTTGTTCATACTAAAAAATTGCAGATGTAGCTGCTGTTGAAGTTACTGTTGCTGTCGTATTCAGGATCTCAATGAAGTTGATGTTATTGATGAATTGATTTTTTTGTTGCTTCTTTGTGTTTGTG